ATGGTTGACAGTAAGGAGAATTACAAATTTGATCTGGGAGTTAAAGGGTTAAGGGCAATTCCATGCTACAGACTTAACATTCAGAGACCAATTTTTTGGAAACTAATTTCCTTAACAAATTTATTTTGCATAGTTTTGAATTAATAATTTTCTCAAACACTCCTCACAGGGTAATTGACTATCAACAGAGGAAAAATTTTCCTTTCTTTAACAGAGGCTGCCAATATTTTTGTGTGAAACTCTGTTACAGACATTACAAAAAAATCAACCTACAATTCAATGTGTTCACTTGACACTTATTTTCCTGTGAATGGACTATTCAGGCAAAAATCAAAAAAAGCACTGTAAACATGGATGTGATTTTTTGTTCAATTTGAACAAATTTGGTTTTCATGAAGTACTTATTTCTTCCAAAAGATTTGCTATAATAAAAGTCATTCAGTCATAATGTCCATAATGTAATTTCCATGACATTGTGTCCGTTATGTAATGTCTGCAACATAAAGTAGGCTTTATTTTTTCTGGTGTTTTTCCAGGATTTTGATAATTTTCAGCACTTATTATAATAAGTTTGGGCCCCTAAAAACTGTAAAACGAGCCAAGCTTACAAAAACAGCTGGTTTTTATTTTCAGAGAAAACAAAATAAATTGGTTTTTGTTACAGACATTACGTGAATTGTTCCTTGCTCTCATTTACAAAGCACATCCATTTTGGAAAAAATCTTATCAGCAAGTTCACCTTTGTGTTGGGTTCAAATAGTCTTGTTACCCTGGTGATATGTTGGGAATAAATGTGTCTTAATAAAATCATTTTAAATCTTACAGCATGCCACATATTTTCACACACTTTTCATTGGACAAAAATAAACAGCCACTCTGCCATTTCCCACAAAATCAACTTTCAGATTATTATTTTTTTAAACAATTTAGGGTCTCCTCACTCCAAAAATCCATTATTGGGCTAGATATGAAATAATTATTTTCAATTTCTCTATTTAAGCAGTTCCTAAAAT